AATTTTGACTAAAATTAAAGAAAATTTCTTAGCTGAGTTAAGACAAAAAGTCCAAGAGACTAGAATAATACAACCAAAAAATTTTATTTAAACCCAATCATATTTCTATCTTTAGATTGAGCTAATCACTCGATTTGATTGTAGATATCTAATATTGTTCTCATATATATGACAAAAACATCCACTAATTATTTTTAATTTACTATTTTTTTTAATTTTTAAACTTTGGGACTAAATTATTATATTTTTAATCTTTAAGGATTGATCTTGTAAATATTTTATTCTTATTTTAATGGAGAGTTAACAAATTCCATTAGTTTATAGGTTAAAATCTTAAAACTTTTAAATTTGGAGCTAAAATCTTTATAATATAAAGTAAAAAGTTAAAACCTTCAAATATATTGAGGTGAGGAGGTAAAGGTATACTTTAACCTAAAAACTAGGTGCTGAATATAACACATGGATTTCCATAATGAGCAAGATTGAGGAGGAGGATTAATGGTGAGATGAATTTCCATGTCGTGTTAGGGGTGCTATATATCTTAATAAGAAGTGAATTTGTTTCACTAAGTGTTAAACTTTGTACATTTCTACTTTGTATTTATGTTTGTATCCTTTGTGTAGGAATGCTTAGTCATCAGGAAGCAATTTATTTTGTAATTGGATATGTTATATTAATGGCAATATAGTGTGGGATTTTGTATATTAGTCCTAGTAGTGTGCACAATGAATAGCGACTATTAAGGAATAGGAAAACATAAAATAAATAGCACAATCGTGAACGGTCCACCAAGCCATACATTGTGTTGCATGTGTAATTTACAGAAAAGGAGTTAAGGGGGCTCAGATAAAAGGTTTTCAACTTAGGAAATGTTGGTTATTAGGGGAAATAGTTGTGCTTAGGCATGGAATCAGGACTTCATGTTCGAACAGCACCCTAGCAAAGGGGATTTGGTTAATGTGCAAAAATTATTACAAATATAAATCTGCAGTATTTAATGTATACTACAATTTGTAAATTAAATGATTATATGTAAAAAAAAGCATATAATATTATTTATTTAACTAGTACTTTTAGCTTGTGCGTTGTACGGGACATTTTTTTAGTTTAAATTGTGTGATAATTTTTAACATAATTAAAGTTAATAAGTTAAAAAGTCTTGTAGTATAATTTATCCTATTAAGACTTAGAAAAATGATTAAAAATTTCTGGGCAAACCAACAATTATGTTTAGACATTTAAAAAAAATTCAAAACCAATGTCTTGGATATTGTATTTTATTAAATAGAAATAAAGTTCAAATGGATATATACTTAAAATAAAAATTTTCAAAATGTGAATTACTTGTAATCTTCAATATGTAACTCTATGCAAGTAACATTACTAGCATTTGCTTGCCTTTCTTGTAGAATCCCAACATCAAACAAAACTCTGTTAACATTTAGATTCCCAAAAAAAAAAAAAAGTATTTTCAATAAATATGAGTCACATGGTTATTTTAATAAAATTATATTAAGATAAAAAAAAGATAAATTAGATGATAAAAAGAACAAATACCACAAGAGTTTTTTCATAATAATGATTAGATTCTCACTTCCACTACCCTTAATCTTTCTATCTCTAAGTTGCTAAAGTCTAAAATATGTTATAATGTAACATACAATATGAATTAATTGAGATTTGTTTTTAAAATACTAATTTAACAGATACCATTCCTTTCCACCATCCCGTCATTTTTTTTACCATCAAATTTAATTCCATTCATTAGTTAAGTTACAATATGCATTTTTTTTTTTTCTCTTTTAAGATGAAGTATAATTTTTTTTAATTGAGATATATAATAATTGTAATTGTGATTATGTTTTTCATTAATTTTTTAATAAATCTTAATGAAAGCTTTCCAAACACTTATATCTTTTGTGCTTCATATTTTGTTACATTTTCATGATAAGGATTAGACTCCTAATTCCTCTACCTTTTAGCTTTCTATCTCAAATCTCTAAATACATATTTGTATAATTACTCTTTCTATTTGTATGTTGTATATATGAATTGTTTACATTTAATTTTGTAGAATTATAGTTTTTTTAGAGTAAACTTTAATTTTCAAAGTTTCTTGATTTTCTTTTTTATTGATATATTATCAATTCTTATTTAAAGGAGTTTCACATTGGATCTTTCTCTTATCTTGTGTTTGGTAGTTGATGGCTGCATCTATAATTTTTCTTTTAAACTTGAAAAGGATTTCTACTAAAATTTAGGAAAAATCATTACTTTCAAACTACCCTGCCCTAGACTATGAACCATGTTGCGGATACCATATAAATTTTGACTACTACTATGTGAAATTAAAATAACCAAAATATCAAATTCATTTTAATTCTAATACTAATTACAAATCACATCCTAAAGAATTATAGTTTATCCTACAACCTTATCATCCAATTCTCTCGTATCCACTGCCTTTGTTTCTTCATATATTAGCACCTATTGTTATGAATGCAAATGAATCACTATAATTTTTTATCTTCTATCAGAGTAGGTTTTTGATTGCCTTGAGGGTTTAATAATCTCCTTGGTATGCTTGATATTTTTGTTTAGATGATATCAACTTCATCTTAACTTCTTGGCAACAAAGTGAAGACAAAAAATTTCTAGCTGGATTTGCTTTAGCAATTCATTCTTTCATTCATAGTATTCCCCTTACAGCTTTTGCATTCACCATGTAATATTTTTAGTAAAAAAGGTTGTTCGTACTCCTTTTATCAGTATATACCTTCAATTTTTCTAGGATATTAGTATATTGGATTCAAGGAATGTTTTTTAAGACTACAATTAGTAGAAGAATATTGTAGTTAGAAAAATCAACATAGTTTTTTGAAATTATTTGGTTTCACTTTTCTCAGAAGTTATTCATTTTTGGTAAAATCCTCAAATTTGAATCTTAAATAAAAGGGTAGGAACAAATCCATTACTCAAAAAATATAAGGATAAATTACATTTTTAAATTATTAATTAAGACAAATTACCCATTATTTAATTGTATGACATCATCACATGTCAACTTTCTATTAAAAAATACGTAGGTGGCAAATAGATTTCTAACATGTGATGATATTACACACCAAATAATGGATGATTTGTCTTAATTGATAATTTGAAAAGAAAATTTGTCCATACTTTTTTAAAAGGGCAAATCTATCTTTATACTCTTATATGAGGGGCAAATTTGGGAGTTCTATTTTTATTGTTTATTTCTTGTTGAAAACAGTGTCTAAGCAATGCAATGAGCATGGATGGTGAGTTTTAAAAGAGAATATAATGAAATATAGGGGAAAAAAAAAGGAAAGATAAAAACTAACATTATTAGACCAAAAAAACTAGTAGTGGAAAACCTATATTCTCTAATCAATTATTCTATAATCAAATATTCAATAAAAAACAATGATTAAGAATTTTAAGAAGCAAATAAAAATCTAATAAAAACAACTAAGAACAAAAATTAAGAATTTACTTTTACAAGCACGTTAACTTGAGAATAAATTTAAAGGATTACATATAGTTATTAGGTTAGAAAAGAGAAATTTGTTAAGAAAAAATTTAGAAAGGAAGCAACCAAGAGGAAAAAGTACTCACCTCATTATTGATTTCAAAATAATTGATGGATTATAAATAGTGGGAGGTAAATTTCAAGAGATAGAATTATAGCAATACAAAATTAATGATAATAAAAAGAATATCTTAAGAGAGAAAAAGAGTTAAGCATAACTTTTTCTTATATAATTAACTATACATGAAGAAGAAGAAGAAAGCAAAGAGACTAGAAAAAGTTGTAATTGTAAAAATAATTATTATATTATGTATTATAATCTTATATTTGTATTTTTGATAAATTTTAGACAACTGTTTATCTTTCTTTGGTTTAATGTATTATATTATATAATATATATAATGAAAATTAATAGTGATAAAATAATTAATAATATTAAGATAAGAAGTGAATGAGAAAAATATAAAAAGATAAAAATGTTGAAATCATATTATTAAATAGATTTATTTATAAATTTTTTTTTATAATTAAAATAAAATAATAAATTTTAATACCTAATTAATGTTAGAAGTAACATTTTATATAATACATATGGATAGCAATAAGTACTACTCAATGCTGGGAAGAACAAATAATGATGAGATTAATCACTTGGCAGTCAATGCAAAGGAGCGCATTGAAGAGGCCGGCACAGATTTTGTAGTAGGACAATTAATTATTAGTTACTGATGCATACGAATATTTTTAGAACATAAACAGAAACAATCGAGTTTTATAACAATAAAATCCAGAATACATGAATTTTTTTTTTTTAACTGAAGTTAAAAGAATACATGAAATTTAATCACAATGTATATATGTAAATAAAGTAAATAAAGAATCAATTTTACTTTGGGTTACATATTAAAAAAAAAAAAAAAGAGAGCCCTTTGCAGCATTTCTTTTATTTCAGTACTTACTTTATATATAACACAGTGTAAAATACCACAAAGTTTTGCTGAATTAATTAAATATTACCTCGCCTAACACTAGTTACACATAAATGCAGATCTTCACTAATATGAAAGGTGGATATGCTGCACATTAAACGAAACAGGAAAAAAGTCTTAATATTTTAGATTTATCGTTAGCAATGAAAGCAACATGCTTTTAAAATCCAACACGCAACATATGGACGGCCTTTCAAAATTTATGGGTAAACCAAGTACTGGTAGAGTTGAATTGGGAGGGGTCAACGCCCTATTAATTCGGTTTAGGGTAGGTAAATGTTGGGGTTATGACTAAGGTTGGGCGCAATTATAACTAGGGATGGCAATTCTCCTGTTCTTCACGGGGATCCTTGCCACGAGAATAGGGTGGGGATAGGGATCATTTTCTTCTCGTGAAATTTTACGGAGAATTTTTCCTACCTTACGAGGATACCCATCCCTGAAAAAAAAAGTTTTTATTTAAAAATTAATTTATTCATTAAACTCAAACCCAAACCCAAACCCAAATCCAAACCCAATCCAAACCCAATTAAACTTAACCCAATACTATCCAACCCAACCCAACTCCCAACCCAACACATTCCCCTACATTTAACCTTAACCCTAATATATTTTAATTCTTATCACTCACGGTCTATGGCTCACCCATTTCTAACCCTCCGTTGTTGTTACTGTCGAAGCTTGCTATTGAATCCATCTCCTCTGCTGTTGTTGAAGCCACCTACTCTGCTGTTGCCGGATCCATCTGCTTTGCTGCTATTGCCGAAGACATCTGCTTTGCTGTTGTTGCTACTGAATCCATCTCCTTTGCTGCTGCGGAAGCCATCTACTCTGCTATTGCCAAATCCATCTGCTCTACTGCTATTGCTGAAGACATCTGCTCGCTGCTGTTGCTGTCGAAGCCAACTGCCGAATCCATCTCCTCTGTTGCTACTGAAGCCATCTACTTTGCTATTGCTGGATCCATCTGCTTTGTTGCTACTGCTGTCAAAGCCTACTGCCGAATCCATATCATCTGTTGCTACGGAAGCCATTTGCTCTGCTGTTGTTGGATGCATCTGCCTGTTGCTGCCAAATCCATCTGCTTTGCTGCTGCTGCTGCTGCCGAAGCCGTCTGATATTATTGGTCGGGAATGGCGATCCCCATTCCCCGCAGGAAACGAGGACGGGGGGAGCAAAATCTGCCCCCTGTCAAAAATCTTCGCGGGGATCCCCGTCCCTGTGATTTGTGGTGATAGGGATAAGGATAGGAAGGTGCTCCCCGACTCTGCGGGCCTATTGACATCCCTAAATTTATAATGGATTTAGTATTTGGGAGATTGAAGGAAGGTGATATTTGTAGGATCTGAAATGCCGAATTGAAGGCATTGAGAAACGAAAAAGGGGTTTCGGAAAGGAATGGATGTGAATGAGTTGCATCGGGAACAAAGGGCAAAGTACAGGGAACATGAACCTGCACCTACAGCTGCAATGGAAGAGGACTGAATGCGTGATAGAGACAGTTGAAGAGAAATCGGAAGAAAGCAGGCCTTATAAAGGTAAAAGAGTAAAGTATAAAAAAATAATTAAATTAAAGTTAAAAGGGACATTACAACACCTAATAAAATGGGAGACAAGGGAAAACAATTAAAAACTGAAAGGGCGATATAAATACGATCTGAACATATTGCAATAGAGGTTATAAAGTAGGAAATTTGTGCCCTAAATTTTTTAGTGTATATAATGACTGTATACCAAAAAAGTGTAGAACTCTTGATGACATGATTTAATAATTAAGAATTTTAAATTTTAATTTTAATTAGGTGAAGATAAATTTAAGAAAAAAAGATTATTTTCTTTTATATAATTCATTATTATCAGATATACTAAAAAAAACTAATATAACGGAGAAGAAAATAAAAAAAAAAAAGATAGGACAAAATTTAAAATATAAAAATTAAGTCATAAACTATAAACTAACCGATTGATTTACATAAGGGTCGTTTCAAACCTGTTAGCAAATTTATGATTTAGGGTGCGTTTGAAATTATGGTTAAGAGGTTTTTTTTTTTATGGTTATATAGTATTTTTAGATATACGTATATTTAGTAATTTTTTTAAAATTATTTTCTCTAAAAACTATGAAAAGCTATAATAGATTTATAATAGTTTTATATATAAAATCATAAGCTTTATTTTGGAGCTTGTTGGTTATGGTTTTTATGGAGAATACATAATATTTAATATAATTATAAAATTATCCATTAAAATCTAATTTAGTATAATTCAATTATATCATAGTTTATAATATTTTAATAATTATAATAAATCTAAAAAACTCAAATTATTAAGAAGTAATAAATATTATCTATTTTAATAATTATATATCTTATAATATTTTTTAAATTTTAATTAATAATTAATAAAATCTACCATATTTTGCCCATAATACTTTTAAAAAATAAATAATCAAATACCAAAATAACTTTTAATCACAATTATAACATACCACAATTTAGTACAATTACAGTTACAGTTATAGATACAACACCTTACAATAATTCCGAACGCACCCATATTAAATGTAATAATGCTTTAAACCATTTGCAGTTGATGATTTTGGGCGGGAAAGAAATGAAACAAGCAACCTAACCATTTTTTTTTTCTTGTGTCAAAGAAAGTAAAATAGCTAGCAAGGGCAATGGGGAGAAGGAGAGCGAATCTGTCAATTGAAGTTTGGATCATGGTTAATCTAGATATGGTTGATGAGCAGGCGAGTTGAAGAATTCACTTTCATGCAGGTAACACGCTTAAACCTTTAGCTCCCCACCATTACAATTTATAAATTAACAACAGTAATGGAAAATAATTAGAAGTTATTTGTTTGTAGAAGACTTAGAATTTAAGGGAGGAATCTAGACGTGAAGGGACAGGTACCTGTCGCATGAAAGTTTAGTAGTACATTGGTATAGTGGAAATTGTATTTAGGTTAAGTTTACTTAACTTTGATCTAAAAGTAAAAAAATTGATGGCCAGGGCTAAATAACAAACACTTGAGATAAATATGGTAGAGTTGTAACTAAGAACAAAGTGATGTTGTATAGGAAGTATATGTGTTGTGTGAGGTGGTAGTCAATTATAGGAAAGCAAAGGCGATGGTCATAGTATTAAGGCATGATTTTGTAAATAAGGTTTATTGAAATAGGGAAGATGGAAGCTACAAATGAGAATGAGGCAACGACACCAAATAGCAGCGACATGGTGGCCTAGCTGAATAATTTGGGTCCTAGTAATCAATGTTTAAGGATCCGACCCAGTGCTTGATCCGTTTTGGGCATCGCGTCTGGTTCAACTGACTAGTTCAACTGATCATACAAAAAATAACATTTTTAAAATTTTAAAAAGTAAGGAGTAAGACTTAATGTTAAAATATATAGTAATTATGTAAATATTACATCACTAAACTCTATAATCTTTATTGCTAACTTTTCAATTTTTTAATCTATTCATAATTAAAAATTGAAAGTAATAATTAGTAATTTATAAAAAATTAAATAAAAATTTTAATTTAAATCTTTTTAACATCAAACAATTTCTATAAAAAATAAAAAGAAAAGGAATGAACAATATCATTAAATCAAATTTCATTTAATACTTAAACACTTAAAATTTTGAGTCTTATCAAATCATTATCATTATTATTTATGATTTATTAAATAAATAATTTAAAATCTTAGAAATAAAAGCTTAACTTAATTTAGTAATATGATTCATAATTTGAGTTTAAAGATATTTACTTTCATTTTGTTATCTTATTTTTAAAATTAACTAATTTATAAATTTTATTTTATAAAAATATTTTTCTAACATTTTCTTTTACATTTAATGTGCCTTTTAATAATTAATTTTTAATAAAAAAATAAAGATTAATTTTAATTTATTAA